GGTGCCCCATAAATAAATAAATCTTTAAAAAAAAAAAAAAAAAAATGTAAAACCATTCTCAGCTCAGGGGCTGTACACAAGCAGGTGGCAGGTTGAGTTTGGCTTGGTGGCTGTAGTGTACGAAACCCAGGTCTACACCCAAAGTTCTGTTTTCACATACTTGCCCTTTGTCTAGTTCGGAACAGGCCAGAACACAGAGCCCTCATGCACAGTCCAAAAGTGAGAGAATTTGAAGGTACAAATTAAAGAATTGAGGGAAAACAGTTTGGTGGCAGACTCTGCTATCATTCTCTTTTTTCTAGGCCTCAACACCCGAGGTTATGCCTTGACTACTGAGGTTACATTTCTAGCTAAACCCTCACTGTTCCTTCAGACTTCGTTCCAATACCTTTAGGTCACCGATGCATAATATCCTTTCCTTTATCCAGCAATGACTGCCCTTCTAAACATCCTTTGCCCATGTTTTGGATCAACTGTACTGCATTTCTCCTATTCTTTTGAGTTGTTTCTTTTTCTGTTAGAAAGCAAGGTCATGGCTCCATAACTTTTTTTCTTCAAGTAATATACTCAATTTTTATTCATTCATGTTTTCAGTAACTGTTTCTTTAGTACCTAGTATCTGTACCTCATGCAGTGTATCTCTGGAGTATAGTGGTAAACAAGACAAAGTCCTCCTTCTCACAAAGCTTTAAGCTATTCTAGTAGGCTAGAGGAGACAGCATACAGGCATATAATTTCAGACAGTTGCAGCGCTATATAGAAAAATGAAACAAGGTAAGTAAATGCAAGTGAAAGGGGAAATAAGGTAACTTCAGACAGCAGTCGAAGACTATGAAAAGGGAATATCTGAGGGAGGCCAGCCATTTGAAAGGAGAAGTGCACCAGGAAGAGGGACCAACAAGAGTAAAGGCTCCAAAACAATAACAACCTTGGCATATTAGTGACTAGGCTCAGGGCTGGGGAACGGGTAAGGCTGAAGATATGGGCAAGGACCAGAGCGTGGAGGCCTTGCTGGCCAGGGAAAGGAGCGTACACTTTTTCCTAAGTGTGACGAGAAGGCACGGGAACGGCTGCCAGCAGACTAAAGACATCATCTGATTTAGAGCTTTAAAGGACTCCTCGGGCCGCAGTGTGGAGGGCAAGAATGAAAGCAGTGAGGTGGCTGGCAGCCTACTGCAGTGGTCCGGATGACAGAGACTGCTGGCTAAGCTGGTTGTTGTGGAGAGGGAGAGAAAAGGCCACATTAAATATATGTCTTTGAACTAGAGCCCAGAGGACTTGCTAATTAATTATGTGGAATGAAAGAAAGAGAATAAGCAAGTGAATGGATGGTAATGCCATTTATAAGAATGAAAAAACCGAACTGCAAGTTGTTTGTGGGTATGTGGGTGAGGGGACTGGGGAGGCCCCAGTCTGTTCTGGGCACCTTAAATCTTCAATGCTTACCAGACATCCAAGAATATTGAGATGTCAAGTTTGCAATGGGATACAGGGGGTCCAGACAACAGGAAAGAGCTGAAGATATAAACTGTAGATGGCATTTAACATTTCAGAACTGGATGAGATCATACAAGGAAAATTTATAGAGGGGGAAAAAAAGAAGAGGGCTCTATGTGGGACTAAGATCTAGCGACTTTAAAAATGTCAAGGCTGACATAGAAGCCAGCAAAACAGAGTAAGGAATAGCCAATGAAACAAGAAAAAAAAATGAGGAATGATACACTGTTATTAAATGCTTTGGGGAGATGAGTAAAGAGAGGATAGAGAAGCCACTATTGAGTTGAGCAAGATGAAGTGGTGGGTGATGTTTACAAGATGAGTTTCCAGTGGCACGGAACAGAAGCCTAGTGGATGTGGAATGAGGAGAGAATGGGAGAAGACAAAGTAGACACAGCAAGTATAGATTACTGTTGTGATGAAGAGGATCAGAGAAATGGTACAGTAGTTTGGGGGGGGGGGCGGGATACTGGTTCAGGAGAAGGTTTTCTGAAGGAACCCAAATCCCTAACATTTCAACTTTACATGCAGTCAACCTCCCCTTAGTCTGGTACATCGTATTCTCTTAAAATATCCCCAACTGCAATATCATAATATCCACAGGAAAAGTTCTCCAGTGACTTCTATTACATCTTTTAAAAAAGTCAACCCCTAATTTACATTTTCACCCAGATACTGCCTCCTTTTCAACTAGTGGATAATTTCTTTTTTTTTTTTTTTTTTTAAGATTTTTTATTTATTTATTTGAGAGAGCGAGAATGAGAGAGTACATGAGAGGGGGGAGGGTCAGAGGGAGAAGCAGGCTCCTCGCCGAGCAGGGAGCCCGATGCGGGACTCGATCCTGGGACTCCAGGATCATGACCTGAGCCGAAGGCAGTCGCTTAACCAACTGAGCCACTCAGGCGCCCTCAACTAGTGGATAATTTCTAACAATGCAAATATATATTGAAGAGAAAGAACTTGTTCCAAGATCACTTTATAAAAGCCTCTAAAATCAACATAGCATCCTAAACATGTGATTTTCTTTCCCAATCCATATGAAGAGAATGAACTTTAACTTTATGCCAAAGCTGAAGAGTCTAAGGTGAGTGGTATTAAATATTATTCCATGTGACTAGTGCTAACGAGCTCCAATATGACCTCAGGAAGATGCTGTTAAGTCTTCTGAAGGTTTGTGAACTGTGTCTGGGGTACTGGAGTGAGGGGGGAAGGGACCTTAATACAAATAAACCATACTACTGTCAATGATTTTGCCTGTGGGTACAAGGTACGCAGCCCATAATGACTATGTATAAGCACATGAGTATTGGTTTAAGCAAATCCCAAAACCAACCTCAAAAACACTTTCCTCCACTTCCTCTCATTTTCTGGGCAAGGCTCCTACACTTGGGGGTACAGCTGGAAATGAACTATGTTTCCTAGTGTATGCCTTGGTAATCAGGCTTACAAGGCATTTTCTCATGATTTGGTTACAGAAAAAGAGGTCTGAACATCAGTAACTTGTTCCTAATTTAAACTCGAGCCTAATTTAAACTTGAGCCACACGTCTCACATAAATTAAGGTTAAACACCTTTCTCCAAACAAAATAGCACATTCAGAATTAGTTCCAGCCCAACATATAATAGATCAAAAGTACTTTGCTAGATTCAAAGGTACTAACAGTTTCATTCAGATACCAAGAAATACCAACTATAAAGAAAGAAAGCCAACAGAGGTGATTAATTAATGTAAAGGAAAAAAAAAAGGAGAGGAATTCATGCTGAGCAGGAGTAGGACCAGATAACATACAAGGTTCTTTCTAACTCTTCAATTCTGAGAAAATATTATCCAAAGATGGAAGAGTAGTAGGATGCAAGGAAAAGTGATTATATGTGTTCTCCAAAACCAAGCTGGGCAGAAAGGCAAGACAATGATCTGGCCTATCAGGAAATCTCTGGATAAAAACCAAAACCAAGCAAGCCACCAACCAAAACCCCAAAAGAGATCCTATGGCTGGGAGCGTCTCTCTAAGTTGGTGGGATGAAAAGACTGTAATGGAACTTAGAGAGCAAAGTCTCGGTTCATTGTGTGGAACCTGAAAAGGTAATTAAAATGATGACAAATGGGTCTGGAAGAATTACTGCACGTGAAGAGAGTACCAATTCCCTAACAGAAGCTGCCCCTCCCCGCGGCTACACCGCCCCCCCCAAACACACAGATCCAGACGCCCTAGCAGCACCTAAGATCTTCAATTTCAATCCCCAAGGAAAGTAATTTAGACACTACAGGAAGCAAGTTCCACGAGCTTCTGTTGCCAAGACAGCTTTGAATTTTTCTTCACATATTTACTAATACAGGATAAACTGAGAGAACTATCCATTCAAACGCATGTTTATGTGAAGATGACTACTACACAGCACCTCTAAGAAGACTGAACTATAAAACTTCTTCTTTAAAAGTCCCAGAGTAAGGGTATACACATATACAAGTATGGCTGACCCTTGAACAATGCGAGGGGGAGGGGGTGTTAGGGGCGCTGACCCCCAACCCCCACGCAGCCAAAAATCCACATATACCTTTTGACTCCCCCAAAACTTGATTACTAATAGCCTACTGTTGACCCGAAGCCTTACCAGTAACGGAGAGTTGATTAACACATACTATGTATGTTCTGTGTATTATATACTGTATTCTTACAGTAATGGAAACTAGAGAAAAGAAAATGTTATTAAGAAAATCATAAGATTTTCTTGGGCGCCTGGGTGGCTCAGCTGGTTAAGCGACTGCCTTCGGCTCAGGTCATGATCCTGGAATCCCGGGATCGAGTCCCGCATCGGGCTCCCTGCTCGGCGGGGAGTCTGCTTCTCCCTCTGACCCTCCCCCCTCTCATGTGCTCTCTCTCATTCTCTCTCTCTCAAATAAATAAATAAAATCTTTAAAAAAAAAAAAAAAAGAAAATCATAAGATTTTCTTAAAATATCCCCACTGTATCCCCACACATTTAGGGTTCTTTGTTGTATTTATTCAGAAAAAAAAAAAAAAAATCCATGTATAAGTAGATCCATGCAGTTCAAACCCGTGTTGTTCAAGGGTCAACTACATACATCTATTTGTCCAGCTGAGGTAATGCTCTTGTATGTTAACATATAACAAGACTAAAAAGTTGTACCTTTGTTGCAGTCACTGATGGCCATCTCTTTCTTGTCCTAAAATGAAACATAACATTAGTATGTGTCACCCTAGTTCAATCTTAATGGCCCGAAGGCTCAATGACATAAGTTGATCATTAATAACTGCTTATGGAGATGCACAATTGCTCTTTAAAGAAATCACATGAAAACATGCATGTTACTTCCAAGCTAAAATTCAAAGTATGGTGACAGCTCTGATGTGAAAGCCTCCTAGAAACAAATTATTCAAGGAGTTTCTTCCTAACATCTTTAAAGACTATTGCAATTGACCTATTGCATTTCCAAGGCACTTCACCATTAGAATGCTGATACTGAGGGGCGCCTGGGTGGCTCAGTCGTTAAACGCTCAGGTAATGATCCCAGGGTCCTGGGATCGAGCCCCGCATCGGGCTCCCTACTCGGTGGGAAGCCTGCTTCTCCCTCTCCCACACCCCCCTGCTGTGTTCCTGCTCTATCTCTCTGTCAAATAAATAAACTCTTTGAAAAGAAAAAAAAAGAACGCTGATACTGAGACCCATTATGATCAATAAGCAGGGCAAATGACTGAATATGAGTAACTGTTCATAACTCTTCTCCTTGGCTAGCTGTTATATTATCACACCCAAAGTGGTATCTTCTAGAAAGTATACAGATGGTCCATCATAGACACAGTGTGGTTTGTCATTAGTTTCTGTTACAAATCTTTTTTTTTTTTTAAGATTTTATTTATTTATTTGACAGAGAAAGAGAGAGAGCAAGCAGGGGCAGGAGCAGAGGAAGAGGGAGATAATCTCCAACAGACTCTGAGCTCAGCTCTGAGCCCAAGGCAGGGTTCAATCCCAGGACCCTGAAATTATGACCTGAGCTGAAACCAAGAGATGGACACTTAACTGACTGAAACACCTAGGCGCCCCTTGGTTATAAATCTTAATTTATCCATTGATAAAACAAAAATAGAAAACAATTCATGAAATAAGATATCTAATTTACCTTGCTCAATCTAGAAGCACGGCACAGGGAGAAGAACACTTTCTAAATTAGAACTAGATTGTAATTCCAGCTCTGACACTAATTTGCTATTTGGCCCCTGAAGCTCTAAAATGTCTATTTTCCCCAAATTAGAAGTTTTCTACAATATTACAGAAATGTTAATTCAAATAAATGTTCAACAGGGGTGCCTGGGTGCCTTAGTCAGTTGAGCATCCAACTACTGACTTCGGCTCAGGTCATGATCTCAGGGTTGTGAGATTGAGCCCTGCATTGGGCTTCATGCTCAACAGGAGATCTACTCTTTGTGCTTTGGATATAAATAGCCATATTTAAACAAGGGGTATTGTTTTTTGCTCTGCCCCACCCCTCACACGCGTGCACATACGCTAATAAATACATTTTTTTTTTTTAAAGATTTTATTTATTTATTTGACAGAGAGAGAGAGACAGTGAAAGAGGGAACACAAGCAGGGGGAGTGGGAGAGGGAGAAGCAGGCTTCCTGCCGAGCAGGGAGCCCAATGCAGGGCTCGATCCCAGGACCCCGGGATCATGCCCTGAGCTGAAGGAAGACGCTTGACGACTGAGCCACCCAGGTGCCCCATAAATAAATAAATCTTTAAAAAAAAGAAAAAGAAAAAGAATAAATGTTCAATACTTCCCATAATGGCTACTGTAGAAAATACTAAATATTTTGAACAGTATTTTAGAGCAATGTCTATCAAACTGAGTTTCAGAATTCAGTCAAAATTTCAGGATGGGGAGTGACTATCAGAATGAGTACAGGATTTCCTTTTGGGGTCATGAAAAAGTTCTGGAAGCAGATAGTGGTGATGGCTGCATAATATTGTGAACATATTTAATGGTACTGAATTGTATAGTTTAAAACAGTTAAAATGGTGAATTTTAGGTCATTTGCATTTTACCCGTAACAAACAAAAAAAGGTTCCAGAGTCATCTGGGAGGCACTAACTATATCATACCTCTTCCAATGTTCATCATTACCAATTCACATATTAAAAGCTCTATGAAGTCCTGTAGTAAAGAAATCTGTATAACTTTGGGTAAGTCAGTATTTTCCCAATTTACCATATTTCTATAAATCTAAGACACACAATTTCATATTTTAAAGTTTCTGAAATAGGAGTAAATCTTTATAACTTATGTGTACACTTGTGGTGGTATTCTTTGTGCCCCTAAGAGAGCACTAAGTTGCAGTGCATCTTATCAATAATCAGCCTCTGCAGATCAAGGAATTACGGTATTTTACTGTGGAATCCTTTGTTTGAGGTCATAGTCTACTAACCCCTCAGGTATTATCTGCTGCTAAGAGTGTTAGTCTCCAAAGTGCCATGTATAAAAAAAATCAGAACCTATTTACCATCCTTTCATAACTTACATAAGATACACACACCACAATGTATGTAAGATATAAGGACAGTTTTAAAAACTTAGGGTCTATACTTTTAGGGCTTTGTCTGCTCTTGTACAGCCAAGCTTAGAGCAGAAACTCTGCCCTAACTCCAGTTTGCCTTTTCTCCCCAGATGTGAAATGTAAAGTTTGGTCAGGGTCACTCAGTCAGGGCTGCTGAGCCTGCATGTGCCTTTCAGAAATTTTCCTTAAAGCAGTTAACCCACCACTTCTTGAAAAACTCAGAATATGCTCCTTAAATCACTTCAGTGCTTTAATCCTGGAAGTTTTTATGTCTCTAACTATAGAGTCTTCTTAAAATATTAAGTACAACTTAAAAGAATAAAACAAAACAAAACATGCACCAACAAACCTATCCTTCCTATAGGAGATAGTCACAGAACAATTCTCTTCTGAGTTCTCCTCAGATGTGACAGACAAAAGACCAGCAAGACCATATACATTTTCCTAATTTAAGAACTGGTCGATTACGCTAGCTCAACCCAATCAGTAACTTGTCAACTGTGGAAACAAAGAATTCCAAATCCCAGGAGCCAAATGGGCCTTTTCCTGAAATTGAAGATATCCTTGATCTCATTTCATAATGTCAGTTTCCAGTTTGAGAATGTGACAAGATGTCTCCAAGAAGCAAAAGCAAAAGGTAAGATTTTTTCCAACTAAGTGTGAATTCAGATCAGTGGTAGAATATGTTAATGAATATTGTTCTATGTAAACTTAAAACAATTGTTTTTTTTTTTTAAAGATTGTTATTTATTTGACAGAGCAAGCGAGCCAGAGAGCACAAGCAGGGAAATGGCAGAGGGAGAGGGAGGAGCAGGCTCCCCGCTGAGTGGGGATTGATCCCAGGACCCTGGCATCATGACCCGAGCTGAAGGAAGATGCTTAACCGACTAAGCCACCCAGGCGCCCCTATTTTATTTCTTCTAACACAAAATGTGTTTGTATATTCTAGAATTATTTCTTCTCGCATTCCATATGAATCACTCTAAAAATACTTCACCTTAGAAACTGTATCCAATAATAAAACATACAAGTTTAGACATACAAACAAACAAACAAAACAAACCCTTTCCTCATGTCCAATTATTCAAGTATTCCCCATCCCACCCCTTTAAAAAAAAACCTAGTCATCAAAAGTGACTTTGGTAGAGGCACTAGAGAATTTCAGGCAACTAGAGAAAGTGATATAAATACCTGATATAAACAAACAAAAAACCCACTTAACCAATCTTGACCTTGCTTTTTTTTTTTTTTTTTAAGATTTTTATTTATTTATTTGACAGAGAGACACAGCCAGAGAGGGAACACAAGCAGGGGGAGTGGGAGAGGGAGAGGGAGAAGCAGGCT